TGCCTGGTCCTCATCAGATTTAATTCTCCTCATTAACTTCACATCATCTGCAAACAGGGACCACTTCTGAGTCTAACCCTTCCGTCATGTCGTTCACATATACCAAAAATAGCACTGGTCCTAGGACCGACCCCTGTGGGGACCCCGCTCGTCACAGGTGCCCACTGTGATACATCATTACGTACCATGACTCGTTGTTGCCTCCCTGTCAGGTATTCTCTGATCCATTGCAGTGCCCTTCCTGTTATATGCGCCTGATGCTCTAGCTTCTGCACTAATCTCTTGTGAGGAACTGTGTCAAAGGCCTTCTTGCAGTCCAAGAAGATGCAATCAACCCACCCTCTCTCTCTTGTCCTTACTTCTGTTATTTTATCATAAACTCCAGAAGGTTTGTGACACAGGATTTGCCTTCCGTGAATCCGTGTGGTTGGCATTTATACTCCTGTTCCGTTCCAGGTGCTCCACCACTCTCCTCCTGATAATCTTCTCCATAATTTTGCATACTATACACGTCAATGACACAGGTCTATAGTTTAGTGCCTCTTTTCTGTCTCCTTTTTTGAAAATGGGAACTACATTTGCCGTCTTCCATATCTCAGGTAGTTGCCCAGTTTCCAGGGATGTGTTGAAGATTGTGGTAAGTGTCACGCACAACATATGTGCTCCCTCTCTAAGGACCCACGGAGAGATGTTGTCCGGTCCCATTGCCTTTGAGTGTGTGTGTGTGTGTGTGTGTGTGTGTGTGTGTGTGTTTACCTGGAGTTTACCTGGAGAGAGTTTCGGGGGTCAACGCCCCCGCGGCCCGGTCTGTGACCAGGCCTCCTGGTGGATCAGCGCCTGATCAACCAGGCTGTTGCTGCTGGCTGCACGCAAACCAACGTACGATCACAGCCCGGCTGATCAGGAACTGACTTTAGGTGCTTGTCCAGTGCCAGCTTGAAGACTGCCAGGGGTCTGTTGGTAATCCCCCTTATGTGTGCTGGGAGGCAGTTGAACAGTCTCGGGCCCCTGACATTTTATTGTATGGTCTCTTAACGTGCTGGTGACACCCCTGCTTTTTATTGGGGGGTTTGGGGCATCGTCTGCCAAGTCTTTTGCTTTCGTAGTGAGTGATTTTGTGTGCAAGTTCGGTACTAGTCCCTAGGATTTTCCAGGTGTAAAATAATCATGTATGTCTCCCCCTGCGTTTCCCGGGAATACAGGTTTAGGGAAAACCCCAAACGCTCCCAGTAATTGAGGTGTTTTATCTCCGTTATGCGCGCCGTGAAAGTTCTCTGTACATTTTCTAGGTCGGCAATTTCACCTGCCTTGAAAGGTGCTGTTAGAGTGCAGCAATATTCCAGCCTAGATAGAACAAGTGACCTGAAGAGTGTCATCATGGGCTTGGCCTCCCTAGTTTTGAAGGTTCTCATTATCCATCCTGTCATTTTTCTAGCAGATGCGATTGATACAATGTTATGGTCCTTGAAGGTGTGTGTGTGTACACTCACCTAACTGTGGTTGCAGGAGTCGAGACTCAGCTCCTGGCCCTACCTCTTCACTGATCGCTACTAGATCCTTTCTCTCACTGCTCCAAGAGCTTTATCATACCTCTCCTTAAAGCTATGTATGATTCCTGCCTCCACTACATCACTTGCCAGACTATTCCACTTCCTGACAACTATATGACTAAAGAAATGCTTCCTAACATCCCTTTGACTCATCTGAGTCTTCAACTTCCAATTGTGACTCATTGTTTCTGAGTCCCATCTATGTCCACGTTGTCAATTTCTTTAGTATTTTATATGTCGTTATCATGTCTCCCCTGACCCTCCTGTCCTCCAGTGTCGTCAGGCCGATTTCCCTTAATCTTTCTTCATAGGACATTCCCCTTAGCTCTGGAACTAACCTTGTCGCAAACCTTTGTACTTTCTCTAGTTTCTTGACGTGCTTTATCAAGTGCGGGTTCCAAACAGGTGCTGCATACTCCAGTATGGGCCTGACATACACGGTGTACAGTGTCTTGAATGATTCCTTACTAAGGTATCGGAATGCTGTTCTCAGGTTTGCCAGGCGCCCATATGCTGCAGCAGTTATCTGATTGATGTGTGCTTCCGGAGACATGCTCGGTGTTATACTCACCCCAAGATCTTTCTCCTTGAGTGAGGTTTGCAGTCTTTGGCCACCTAGCCTATACTCTGTCTGTGGTCTTCTGTGCCCTTCCCCTATCTTCATGACTTTGCATTTGGCAGGATTAAATTCGAGAAGCCAGGTGTCCAGTCTGTCCAGGTCTCTTTGAAGTCCTGCCTGGTCCTCATCAGATTTAATTCTCCTCATTAACTTCACATCATCTGCAAACAGGGACACTTCTGAGTCTAACCCTTCCGTCATGTCGTTCACATATACCAAAAATAGCACTGGTCCTAGGACCGACCCCTGTGGGACCCCGCTCATCACAGGTGCCCACTGTGATACATCATTACGTACCATGACTCGTTGTTGCCTCCCTGTCAGGTATTCTCTGATCCATTGCAGTGCCCTTCCTGTTATATGCGCCTGATGCTCTAGCTTCTGCACTAATTTCTTGTGAGGAACTGTGTCAAAGGCCTTCTTGCAGTCCAAGAAGATGCAATCAACCCACCCCTCTCTCTCTTGTCTTACTTCTGTTATTTTATCATAAAACTCCAGAAGGTTTGTGACACAGGATTTGCCTTCCGTGAATCCGTGCTGGTTGGCATTTATACTCCTGTTCCATTCCAGGTGCTCCACCACTCTCCTCCTGATAATCTTCTCCATAATTTTGCATACTATACACGTCAATGACACAGGTCTATAGTTTAGTGCCTCTTTTCTGTCTCCTTTTTTGAAAATGGGAACTACATTTGCCGTCTTCCATATCTCAGGTAGTTGCCCAGTTTCCAGGGATGTGTTGAAGATTGTGGTAAGTGGCACGCACAACATATCTGCTCCCTCTCTAAGGACCCACGGAGAGATGTTGTCCGGTCCCATTGCCTTTGAGTGTGTGTGTGTGTGTGTGTGTGTGTGTGTGTGAGTGTGTGTGTGTGTGTGTGTGTGTGTGTGTGTGTGTGTGTGTGTGTGTGTGTGTGTGTGTGTGTGTGTGTGTGTGTACACTCACCTAACTGTGGTTGCAGGAGTCGAGACTCAGCTCCTGGCCCTACCTCTTCACTGATCGCTACTAGATCCTTTCTCTCACTGCTCCAAGAGCTTTATCATACCTCTCCTTAAAGCTATGTATGATTCCTGCCTCCACTACATCACTTGCCAGACTATTCCTCTTCCTGACAACTATATGACTAAAGAAATGCTTCCTAACATCCCTTTGACTCATCTGAGTCTTCAACTTCCAATTGTGACTCATTGTTTCTGAGTCCCATCTATGTCCACGTTGTCAATTTCTTGCAGTATTTTGTATGTCGTTATCATGTCTCCCTTAACCCTCCTGTCCTCCAGTGTTGCCAGGTCGATTTCTCTTAATCTTTCTTTGTAGGACATTTCCCTTAGCTCTGGAACCAGCCTTGTTGCAAACCTTTGCACTTTCTCTAATTTCTAGGTGTGCTTGACCAGGTGGGGGTTCAAAACTGGTGCTGTATACTCCAGTATGGGTCTAACATACACAGTATACAGAGTCTTGAACTATTCCTTACTGAGGTATCGGAATGCTATTCTCTTGTATCCCATCTACCTTTTACTCTCACTGTAGCTACAACTAGAAAGTGATCTGATATATCTGTGGCCCCTCTATAAACATGTATATCCTGAAGTCTACTAACAGTTTTTTATCTACCAATACATAGTCCAACAAACTACTGTCATTACGCCCTGTATCATAACTTGTATACTTATTTATCCTCTTTTTCTTAAAATACATATTACCTATAACTAAACCCCTTTCTATACAAAGTTCAATCAAAGGGCTCTCATTATCCTTTACACCTGGCACCCCAAACTTACCTACCACACCTCTAAATGTTTCTCCTACTTTAGCATTTAGGTCCCCTACCATAATTACTCTCTCACTTGGTGCAAAGGTTCCTATACATTCGCTTAACATCTCTCAAAATCTCTCTCTCTCTCCTTTACACTCCTCTCTTCTCCAGGTGCATACACGCTTATTACGACCCGCTTTTTACATCAGACCCTTATTTTAATCCACATAATCCTTGGATTTACACATTTATATTCCCTTTTCTCCTTCCATAACTGGTCCTTCAACATTATTGCTGCCCCTTCCTTAGCTCTAACTCTCTCAAATGCTCCTGACCTTATCCCATTTATTTTTCCACACTTTGTTTCGCTTAGGGCCAGGCCATCCAACTTCTTTTCATTCATAACATCAGCAATCATCTCTTTTTTATCATCCACACTACATGCACGCACATTCAAGCATCCCAGTTTTATAAAACTTTTCTTCTTCTCATTTTTAGTAAATGTGTGCAGGAGGAGTTACTAGCCCATTGCTCTTGGCATTTTAGTCGCCTCATACGACACACATGGCTTACGGAGGAAAGATTTTTTCCACTTCCCCATGGACAATAGAGAAAAAAAACAAGAACAAGAGCTTTTAAGAAAAAGAAGAAAAACCCTAGATGTGTGTATGTATATACATGCATGTGCATGTCTGTGTAGTGTGACCTAAGTGTAAGTAGAAGTAGCAAGATATACCTGTTATCCAGCATGTTTATGAGACATAAAAACAACACCAGCAATTCTACCATCATGTAAAAACAGTTACAGAATATTTACATAACATTTAAATTATCAAGAATCATATAGAAAACATATTTAATCAGTAACACAATTTTGGCCCTCAAGATGGCCTAATTTTTTAAATTATTTTTAATTAAAGATATTTTTAAAAGTTGGTCACTGTCATGAAGATTTGTGAATCATGTTATGAGATGCAATTGATACATTTATCACCTTATGAAAGGCATTAATTGCCAATGATAAATTATTTTTATCATTTTCTATATAAGAATGAGGCATAAAAGACGTAAACATTCCATGTTTCCATAGTTTTATTTAAAATACCACAAATAAAAAAAAAAAACTCATTTTCTTTGTAAAATATTGTATGAAGGGAAAAAGTAAGTTGATTTAGTTACAGGAACACATACATACAGTTACTCAAATTATCATACATAGTAACATATGTGTAAATTACCAAGGATCACCTAACAGAGTGAAAGTGAAACTGTTGGATGAGAAAAATTAAATCTTATTCCATCTTCTTCTTACTCTTGTGAGCATTGAAGATTTTGGCAGAGAGGACTCTCAGAATGCGACGCAGTATGAAGAAAATGATAAATAAAGCCAAGTGAAGGAGTAAGATAACGTCGAGCATGAGGAACTCCACCCAGGAGAGCTGTGCTGCCGGGGACCTCAGGTGAGGCGCTCCATGGTGACGGATGACGTACTCCGTCCAGAACACTGCTCGCTCCTTGGACGTGGTCACCTGATCTCGCAGCAACATTGACATCCTCGACACATTTTCTTTATACCTGAACATGAGTGAAATGCATTGAAAGCACAAAATTACAATAAAAAATTTTTGCTGCTGCACATAAAAAAATTTAATGTATCAAAAGCATACTAGTTTAAATTTATTAGGTAATATTATACATCTGAGTAAATATTTTTATTGCCTTTTTTCCTAAAAAGTATTAAAAAAAAGATGAATAATTCAAACCTAAACCAGTTAATGTAGCCTTGCTTTACAGTGTATGACTAAAACTAGCACTACTTAGTGCTACTTAGATGAGTTGGGTCTTACACAGATGACAGCAAGGAAATGAGTGAGTTACTCAAGTCCCAGTATGACTCAGTTTTTAGCGAGCCACTAACCAGACTAAGAGTCAAATATCTAAATTATTTTTTTATGAAAGAGACTCAGAATTTGGTAGATTCAAACTTATCTGACATTATCCTGACACAAAATGACATAAAAAATGCAATATATGACATGCCCATACACTCTGCCCCAGGCCCAGACTCGTGAACTCCATGCTCATCAAGAACTGCATGAAGCCCCTATCACGTGCTTTTAGCATTCTATGGAGAAAAGCATGGACACAGGGGTCATTGCACAGCTGCTAAAAAACAACAGACATAACCCCACTCCACAAAGGAGGCAGTAAAGCAATAGCAAAGAACTACAGACTGATAGTGCTAACATTCCATGTCATAAAAATCTTTGAAAGGGTTCTAAGAAGCAAGATCACCACTCATCTTGATACCCATCAGTTACACAACCCAGGGCAACATGGATTTAGAGCAGGTCGCTCCTGCTTGTCCCAACTAGTAGACCACTATGACAAGGTCCTGGATGCTCTAGAAGACAAACAAAATGCAAATGTAGTATACACAGAATTTACAAAAGCCTTCAACAAGTGTGGCCATGGTGTAATAGTGAAAGAAATGCATGATAAAGGAATAACAGGAAAAGTTGGTAGATGGATCTATAACTTCCTAAGAGATAGAACACAGAGTATAATAGTCACCAAAGTAAAGTTTGAGGCAGCTACTGTGAAAAGTTCTGTTCCACAAAGCACAGTCCTCACCCCCATCCTGTTCCTCATCCTCATATATGACATAGATAGAACACAAAGAGTAATAGTCACCAGAGTAAAGTTTGAGGCAGCTACTGTGAAAAGTTCTGTTCCACAAAGCACAGACCTCACCCCCATCCTGTTCCTCATCCTCATATATGACATAGATAGGGATGTAAGTCACAGCACCATGTTTTCATTTGCAGATGACACCTGAATTTGCATGACAGCATCCTCCATTGAAGAGACTTCGAGACTCCAGGCGGACATTAACCAAATCTTTAAATGGGCAACAGAAAACAATATGAAACTCAATGAAGTGAAATTTCAATTACTCCGATATGGAAAATGTGAGGAAATTAAAACTATATCGGGTATAAAACAAATTCCAACCACACAACAGAGTGAAAAAACTAATGTAAAGGACCTAGGAGTGATAAAGTCAGAGGATCTCACTTTCAAAGACCACAACACTGTATCAATCGCATCTGCTAGAAAAATGAAAGGATGGATAATGAAAACTTTCAAAACCAGGGATGCCAAGTCCATGATGATACTCTTCAGGTCACTTGTTCTATCTAGGCTGGAATAATACTGTACAGTAACAGCGCCTTTCAAGGCAGGTGAAACTGCTGACCCAGAAAATGTACAGAGAATCTTCACAGCACACATAAGTATGATAAAACACCTAAATTACTGGAAACAGTTGAAGTTCCTCGACTTGTATTCCCTGGAATGCAGGCAGGAGAGATACATGATTAGCAGGACGCATGACCATAACACAAGACACATAACTCTTTTTGATGTACCTCGTGCCCATATTACACTGTGTAAAAACTCTATGCACATACAGGGCCCCAAAATATGGAATTCATTACCTGAAGATACTAAAGTAACCCAGTCTGAAAATCAATTTAAGACTCTTCTCAAAAGCCACTTAATCACCCTAGACTAAAAGCTAAATACTCAGTACACACATACTCACTTATGTATTCCCACATCATAATTTCAACAATTACTTTGAACTTTTTATCCATTGTTGACAGGAATATAATTGAATCATTGTTTTCACAAAAAGCATTTGTGAATACATGAATATATATTTTGCCTTATATAAATTAGATTCACTTATAATTAATAATCTACTGTACAACTATGATATAATTAATATTCTACTGTACAACTATGACATAATCCTTATTTATTTTTTTTATTTTATGTCTTTGCAAACAGTACATTGAGATTTTGTATTTACAGTAGTGGATTGCAATGCAAAGAGAACCTCTATTATGCCTAGGCATTATGGGCCAACTTAACATTATTGGCTTACAGTCTACTTAACACTAAGGAGTATATCATAGTTGTACAGTAGGATAGTAATTATTTCATAGTTGTACAGTAGATTATTAACCCTTTGAGGGTCGACAGGCCCTCTCCGAAACTCGTTCTCAGGGTCGGCCAAATTTAAAAAAAAAAAATATTATTTTCTCTTATGAAAAGATAGAGAATCTTTTCCCGATCATAAAGACACCAAAAGTTTGAAATTTGATAGAAAACTTACGGAATTATGCTCTCGCAAAGTTAGCGGTCTCGGCGATGTTTACGCATCGGCGATTTTGCCCACTTTGAGCCCCATTTTCGGCCAATTTCACTGTACTAGTCGACAAAAAACATGAATATTTCGCTAGAACTCCATTTTTTCTATCGAATGGATGCAAGAAACCACTCATTTATGAAATTCAACTATCCAGTACAGTGGTCAGAATTTAGCAATATTGCCAATTTCACACAAATTTCAAAAGATGCCAATTTCGGAATAGGGTCCAGAATAAACAAGAAAGACATTCCTGGCACTAAAATGACATTTCCTCTAGTCATTAGTCATGTCTCAAGTCCCCTCTTATATTCTTTTGCTTTCCACTTTGAATTTTTATTTTCACAAAAAATATAAGATTTACTGTTATGCAGACTACTGCATTAGTGTAAAAAATGGTATAAATATTATTGGTGCACTTGTGAAAGAATATTAGACTCACCAGTTGACGTGTATTGCACGCTTGGCACGATTTGTTTACTTTTGAAGTTTGGTAAAAATCGAACATTTCTGCTACTTTGAGGTCAATTTCAAGGCACCTTTCTTTGTAAAACCAGTCAAAATCATCTCAATTTCTGTAATATGTCTTCCATTCTATAAAATGAGACCAAGAAAACTAGAATACAACAATAAATACCATACGAAAATACACTGCAAAGTCGCTGATTTATTAAAAAAAAATGGTCAAAGTTTTTTTTTTCTCATTATGCACTGTGTGCTGCAGGATTTTTTTTAGACTGTGCACACTGACCACATAGACCCATTCTTTCATATGAAGGCCTACCAGCTTTCTCCCACTAGATTTGAGGCCGCTAGAATTTATGAGTACTAGTACGTCAAAAACCCCTACGCGTAAAACGTACTAGTACGACGAAAACCCTCAAAGGGTTAATTATAAGTGAATCAAAATTTGTGTAAGACAAAAGATAAATTCTTCTATTCAAAAATGCTTTTTGTGAAAACAATGATTCAATTACATTCCTGTCAACAATGGATAAAAGGTTCAAAGTGATTGTTGAAGTTATGATGTCGGAGAACATAAGTGAGTATGTGTGTACTGAGTATTAGCGTTTAGTCTAGGGTGATTAAGTGGCTTTTGAGAAGAGTCCTAAATTGATTTTCAGACTGGGTTACTTTAATATCTTCTGGTAATGAATTCCATATTTTGTGGCCTTTTATGTGCATAGTTTTTACATAGTGTGATATGGACACGAGGTATATCAAAAAGAGATCTGTGTCTTGTGTTGTGGTCATGTGTCCTGTTTAAGTTGGTGAGAAGTTTGAGTGGAGGGTTTATATTTGCATGTATTGTTCTGTGTATGTAGTAGGCACATGAATAAGTATGGATGTTCTTAAAGGTGAGCAGATTCAGACTTTTGAAAATTGGTGGAGTATGCTAGTGGGAGTGGGAATTTGTTATCATTCTTACTGCTGCCTTTTGCTGGGTAATTAGGGGTTTTAGGTGATTGAATGTTGTTGATCCCCATGCACAAATTCCATATGTAAGATAAGGGTATATGAGTGAATGGTACAGTGACCAGAGAGTTGATTGTGGGATGTAGTACCTTATCTTTGATAGTATGCCTACAGTCTTGAGGATTTTCTTGGTGATTTGTTGTATGTGTGTCCGGAACTTAAGGCTACTGTCAAGGTGGATACCTAGGAATTTTCCTTCTGTGAGTCTTATGACTGATGATCCATTTAGCGTTATGTTAATTGGATCATTTGCAGCTTTGTTTCCAAACTGAATGAAATAGGTTTTATCAGTATTCAGGATAAGTTTGTTAGTCATCATCCAGGCAGATATTTTCTGCAATTCGGCATTGACTGTGTTTGCTAGTATGACTGTGTTTGGGTGGGAAAAGACATATGTAGTGTCATCTGCAAATAATATGGGTTTGAGTTGCTGTGATGCATTCGGTAGATCATTGATGTAGATGAGAAAGAGGGGTGGTCCAAGGAAACTTCCTTGTGGGACTCTTACTGTGATTGGTTGGGTGGAAGAGTTTGCATCATTTGCATACATAAATTGAGTTCTGTTACTAAGGTATGATTTTAGGTAGTTGAGGGAGTGGCCTCTGATACAACAGTGCGTTAATTTGGAGTACAGAAGTTCATGGTCGACTGTATCGAAAGCTTTACGTAAATCAATGAAAATGCCCAGCGGGACTTCTTTCTTTTCAAGTGCAGTATATATTAGTTCTAGCATGTGTATCATAGCATCATTTGTGCCTTTATTATTCCTGAATCCAAAATGACAAAGGGTTTAATATATTGTGTGAGACGAGGTAGGAATAGATCCGTCTATGAATTAATTTTTCAAAGATTTTAGAGAGCAGTGGTAAATTAGATATTGGTC